TCGATTCTCCAATACTCATTGCGTGTTCTTTCCATTAACTCATTCACTGTAAGTTTTCTATTCTCCGCTGCTTTATTAACCTCATCTTTTTCAAAGGATTCTAAACTTACCAACTCACGATGTTCATAAATTTCAAGTCCATTTTCATCGAACATTTGTTGGAATTTTTTCCAAGTATTAATCATCAACAATTTTCTGAAACTATATATTTGCTCATGAAAGATATGCTTGCAAGGAAGCATATATTTGCGGAAAAAAAGGCAATGGCATTCAAGTGACATCAGACCAGGCAACCCTTTACCTTTCTCTATTCTATCGTTAACAGCAAAAACTTCATTAACTATTAATTTCTGGACTGGAAAAGAAAACTTATGAATTTCTTTGAGAATATCATTGTCGACACCGACAGCGGAAATTTTTTTAACCCGAAACTTGAATGCGACATAATCTGAATCTAACTGCTTTTTCAAGTCAAGTGCAATAATCTTATTGCATGTGCCAACCAGACAATATTGAGGTGAGGTTGTTCTTTTTAACTCACTGTGATACGATTCCAGAGCATTTGTCGTTGTTACTTGCAAAAGTAGTGGCAAGTGCTAGCGGGCCCAAAGGGCCCATTGGTAAGTATTTTTTGAATAATATCTTGCGATATATTGTTTAATAGGGTAAAGGGCACATTCATTAATTGATTTTTGAACGAACATCTCACAACCAACTTTTGTTCATTTATGCATGGCTTGAATCATCTTATTCCGAGTTTCTGGTTCATAAATTTTATTCATCCAAGTCCGCATAACATGTACAGTGCAGAAAATTACATCACATTCCTGTTCACCCTTTGTGAGACCCGGGAAAACTTTTACAATACTTTTTGCCTCTATGCTGCTTTGGTCTGCCAAAAAATAATGAGGTTTCCAGGTTCTACAAAATCGTCTAATTATAACTAACGCTTCTGCAATGTTATCGCTATTTTCATTGCTAACGAAAAAATGCCCACCAACATCCCAGCATCCATATCCATCCCGAACATACAGCATAAATAAACGCTAGTCATATTTGTTGGTTTTGTGTGTGGAGTCGATAAGGGTTAGCCAACCATACCGCTGAAGCTTTTCGAGTTGTTTTGGTTGTGCAAAAACAAAACCAGAGATAGATTAACAGTGGGTTTTATATGATTCAACCTGATATCCTTCTTTTTGTAAAAGAGAAATTGAGTCTTGGATATCTGGTGCTAGTTCAGAAGTGCCAGTAAAATACATATTTTGTGGCCCACGGACTTTATACTTTATATTAGCAACCTCCCTCCACCTTAATTCCTTTACACTCATACCAAGGTTCAGATTTTCAGATGCGTACTCTTTAACTGCATTTACTATTGCAGGCACAGAATAATTTTTCACAGCTTCCTTTTCTACCAAAGTCCTAATAGCTTGGGGCGCTTAAGCTTATCACTTTCATCCAAATTATGCGTGTGATCAGGGGAACCTTGGAACCATTCAACACACACTTTTTGCTTGGCAATATACCATGATACCTTTATTTTTGCATGGCATAAGCCTGCTTCTCGAACTTTGGCTTTTCGCCGTTTCTCAATTGGAACGTCTTCTTTGCGCGTACTTGATTCAAAGTGCTTGGCAAAGCGACATACGAAGGTTTTCTAAGAATTTCCATTTACAAGTTTCTTATGACTATATTTCACCCAAAAGTTCGTAACTAAAGGCCACCATTCATCATCGAATTCTTTCATCGGCACTTCGAATGGTTGTTAAACATTAAAAAGTAATGCACATCTTTGATCACATGTAAGAACTGCTGTCAAGTTTGTTACTATGATGTTTGTGGAAACCCTTTACTGCGACAAATCTACTGATTCAGTTACACTTATTTGTAGGAAGTTTTCTTGCCGGTGATACTCATTATTACTTTGCAAGAAGCTCTTGCTATGGTTATGATTTTTTTTTTTTTTTTTTATTTTTTTTTTTTTATGCACGAAAGACCTATTCTTTTAAAGAATGTTTATACACTGCTAGTCGTTATTAAAATTTGGCTTGGTGTTTTCTGCGGGCTTTCTTTTGCAGAGTCTTTTTTTCTGGTAGCATTTTCACCAAGAAGTGGGAAGAAGCGATTATCCAGATTTTTAAGTTTTGTCAATATACCTTATATAACATATCGGTGAGTTATCAATCTTGAATTTGATTGGACGTTATTAGTAATATGATCACTCCAGTCTCCGGATGATTAGGTCGGCAATCACATGACCGAACCTGGCTTTAATGGATCCCCATATTTGGGCCTTGTGGCCACGTGACTTTTATATATTAATCAGCCAATAAAAATCCATGAAATTTGTTTACACAGATCAGCATGATGGACAAACGGGCTGCAGATCTCTTCAGAGAAGTGATAACCAATCAAAATCGATGATTTTAAAAATAAAAAATACAAAAAAAAAATATTTAAAAAAGCTAAAATATTGTAATTAATAAGTTTAATAAAAATTAATAATCTTTGATACGATTAGCTTATCGCTAATATAAAACTTATATATCTTGTGTAATCTTTATGATATAACTACTATTTTACTTATCTTAACACCAAAAAAAAAACTACTATTTTACTATTAAAGGCATTTTTAACATTAGTATACATATAGATATATATATTGATTTCAATATATCCTAAACAAAAAAAAATTATATACATAATTAGTTATTTAATTAGAAAATTTTCGTGTAGCATATATATTAATAATTAAATATATTAATATACTTAATACATTACCTTTACTAAATTGTTACTTTTTAGTAATGTTTTTTTTTTAACCTTAAGCAGTTACGCTAGTACTTTATTAAGATTCTTTTTATTTTTATTTTTTTTTTAAATATTAAGGTGAGTACTTGCGACCCAGGATTTTATTGATAGTACATTCAGCTAATGGTTGCAT